TCAACAGAGGTACTAAGTAGTCTAGCATGAGTTAGAGCAGCATCTAATGTTGTAATATTGGGAGTAGATCTCAGATGTTGGGCCATTGACCTGGGCAATCCATCAATAAAATGATGAAGTAGCATATCTTTTTTTACAGTCTCTGTAGCACCAGGTAGCGCCCTATCCAGGAGACGCTTGAGATGAAAGAGAAAAGCGTGTGGTGATTCCCCCGGAAGCAATTTACGCCCCTCAAAATCCACCATGGCACGAAAACGGGATTCAGCTGGTTGAAACACAGCCTTTAGAGCGGTCTGAATAGCCATGTAATCTTTCTTGTCAGCATCAGGCATTTCTAAGTACACCATCAACGCTTCTCCGTCCAGGAATGTCGGGATTTTCTTTGCACACGTGTCAGCATCCCAACCGTTAGCAGTAGCACAGATATCGAACTTCTGTAGCCATTGGTCCAAGTCAGAACCATCAGAAAGAGTACGAGGGAGAGCTAGGTGCTTGTCCCCACCAGTGGCCATCCTCTGCTACCAGTGTAATCAAGATGGAAGGAGATTCTTTTATATTCAAAGTGTAATCAAAATTCTCTCTCTCACCAAAAATGAAAAATAATAATGTGTGTGTGTGTGGGCGGACTATATAATAATAACTATATAATAACATGTGATCATGAATAATGATTAATGATAATGAATCAAGTGACTGTCAATAATTGTTTCTTACATCTATATAGTTGTTTGTTCTGATAGAGTGCAATAAGAAATGCTACAGCTAAAAATAAATACAAGAGATATTGTAACAACACTTTCACTTTTATTCTCTCTTCAAAAGAGATGGTATCAATAATCAGTAATTGGCCGCCATAGAGTTGACTAAACTTTAGTATAAGAAGCTGTAAACAGAGACATTGATAAGATCAATTGTGGTAAAAGTTGAATGATATTTTGGACACTGAACTAGTCAACTACACTACAATATATCTAATAGTCTTAACTTAATAATTACATGTAAATGAAACTTGTCCAACCGCCCTCAACCTCACAACCACTGTAGTCTCACTTAGCCAGGCTCACCCTCTGTGTGTAGGCACAGAGGGCCGGTCTGACTACGCGAGACTACACAACCACCAGATGACTATATATACATACATGTACTTTAGTCTCGCTAGCCAGACCATTGCCCAGCCTACAGTCATTTGGGTGGACGGCCAAATGACTGTCAGCTGGGGAATGGTCTGGCTAGCAAGACTACATGTGCTTACAGTAAATAGCTGAAAATGATCTAATGGACAATATTCTAACTAGACAGAACGAGCCAGCAAGTAAATTTCTTTCATCTTGATCCATTTTGACGAAGATTAAGAACTCTTCCTAAAGTTAAAATCTTCTGAAGACTCTTACTTTGATTTCCATTATTAGATGCAGCTCCGTATGCCTACTTTTACTATCGAATACCCTAAACACCTCATGTTGTCACGTGGAATAAGTCACGATACGCTTACTTCTGTACGTACAAAGATACATTTGTACGTTCACCTCAGAATAGCAGGAGGAGGAGAGGAATGATATGATAAACCTCTTCTCTGAGAAGAGAAAGATTTAAGTGAATTTTGTACTGTCCTTCATTTTTCACGTATGACTAGATCTATGACTGCGTGGATAAACCAGTCCCACTTTGGAATTTCCTGTTCTCTGCTCTTACGTCTCGTCTTATCTTTTACCTTGTATCTATGCTTGTAGACAATACTTAAAGTCTTAAACTAGTTTCAAATGGCTTCAAAACCATCACATTTCCCATTAGGTGAGTCAAATTATTTATAATACACTGAAATACATATTTTGTGTACAGATATTAGCAAGTTACACTTTGTCCTACAAGTCTTGAGGCATTACAAGTTTCCTGAAGCAAGATGGTTTGAATTTGGATTGAATCTTGGTCTGCTTCATCCTACACTGGAAGCTATTGAGTCAGCTCATAGAGGGAATCCTTCACGCTGCCTGATGGAGTGTTTAACCAAGTGGTTGACTAAAGCTGATGATAATGTCACCACTGTTGGTCCTATTATCTGGAAGACAGTGGCTAATGCTCTTAGAGAAATGGATGTAAAATCTATTGCCATTGATATTAGCAAAACAAGTAATAAATTATTTTTGTTATACTTTATTATATTTTTATTAGTGGCAGATCCTGTTAGTGAGATATTGCAGTGTTATATTGGTAGACTAGCTCAAGTTGTTCTTACTGAAGAATCAGTTGATCTCTTACATACAGAGGGATTGATATCTAAGGATACATTAAGAGAAGTGAAGAGTTGTGGTTGTTCATTGGTAGGAGATCCAATGTTACTAATATTAAGTGCTGTAGCTGAAGATCATAGCAAGTTATGTACTCTGACAAGCATTCTAATGAAATCAAAGGAAGCTATGTCTTTAGCTAGTGATATAATAATGGAATATGGTAAATGAACAGTTTTATAAATACACTTAACTTATTTATATTCTAATACAATAGGAAAGTCATTTCCTTCAGCAGTAACAATGATGCCATCTTGTCAACAAGCAAGTACTTCAGCATCTTCAAGTAATAATAATTATAACATATATACATTCACTATATTATAATGAATACAGGATCTGGACAATTACAAGATAGTAGTCATAGTGAGACAAAAGTAACTACTAATACCGATGCTACTGCACAAGGTTAGTAATTCTAATTATACCCAATTCAATGTCATTACACTATAATTATTATTGGTGTAGTAGAGGCCATAGTTGATCCTGGCAAGATGACAAAAGCAATGCAAATTGAAATAGATCATTTACAATCATCTCTTCAAAGCAAAACAGGTATATACACATATACTTAATACTGTAAAATCACAATACAGTAAGGCTGTGTTTAGAGTATCATTATTGCTTGTACATTAATTTGTTATATATTAGTAGTAGGATGATTGTATATACTCACTACCAATTCTGGTCCTTTTTGCATACAAATATTCAAATTATTGATAAAACAATTACAGTTCTGTTAAGACAGTTAATTTATTTGCATTAATGACTATTATTAATGACTAGGAATGGAAGAAACGTTAAGTGGAGTAGAGAAAACATTAATTGAAAGAGAAAAGGAGATAGAACAGTTACAGGAAAAGATATCATTAATGAATATACAACAACTGAAAGAAACTTCAATTACTCTTAGTATGTATTACATTATATTGACATAATGACTAGTACTGGTATTTTAGGAAAGGATCAGTCTACACAATCAATAGATCCACCAAAAGGACCAGTTTATGAAGCTATTAGAGACTGGGAGGCAAGGGATAGTGATGATCTATCAATCAAGAAAGGAGAGAAACTTGAGATTAAGGAAGAGTGTACTAGTGGATGGTGGCTAGCAAGATCATTAGATACTGATCAAGAGGGACGTGTTTATATAAATGATATTAAAAAAGATGAAGAGAGTGAACTGTCAACATTGGAATCACTTGAACTATTTCATTATGCAATGACAGAAAATGTTGACATACCTAAAATCAAGGAAATTAAGATGAGGAGCAACATTGAGAGAGCAAGTCTCTTTTTATCATTAATTAAACAAGATTCGGTTCTGCTAGATCAACTTAGAAAAAAAGAACATGGTAAGATATATTTATATGTACTAATAATCTATAGAGTATTTTGAGGGATGATCAGCAATTTTGCATTTTGAAAAATAAAGTGTTTATATATCTGTGTATCAATTTTTGGCAAAATGCAGAAAATTTATAAGAGCCACAAATAATAACCAGATATAAAGAAGTATTTCTTTGCCTTAACCATTAAAAATATGATAGTAGAGAATTATACTTGATAATACAGTAATTAATTATAATTGTTTATCAATTCAGGAAAACCTAAAGCAACTAGGTGGTATGATGATGGTGTTGAACTGACCTCTCCATCATTAATACAATGTCAAGAAGTAGTTTCTTTATCAACATACAAACATACGCACATCATCATCAACGAATCATCTCCTGACGTTGTGTGTGATCTGTTGCAAGTTTTATTACAAAATGAAAAGGTGAAATACTTAAGAATACGAGACACTCAACTAACACAGGACTGCATCTCATCCTTATGTAACTTACTGGCTAATAATAAATTAGTAGATTTACATCTTATTAACTGTTCCATTGATGACAAAGCAGTTGCTGATATTACAAACGTACTACAAACACACAATAACACACTTTTAGGATTAACCTTCGGTAATAATCCTCGTATTACTTCAGTTAGTGCTCAGTTTCTTTCTAAACTAATTATCAACAATTCAACATTAACTATATTAGACGTAAGAGGCACTTCAATATCATCTGATGGAATATTACTAATTCTTAAATCATTAACAATTAATAAAAATATAAAGCAGCTCTATCTAGATATGAAAGACAAAAACACATGTACAGAATACTGTGAATATATTATTATAAAAAATAGATTAATATTTGAGTAAATTCTTAATATTAATTATTAATTGTATTTTGCTTTTCATTGACAATGCAGACTCATCAATTATTTAATAATTATATATTTATAAACACAGAATAATTAATAAAGTGATGTACAATAAACACATACCACAACAAGTAAATACAAAATAATAATAATAATAATAATAATAATAATAATAATAATAATAATAATAATAATAATAATTGCGTTTAACTATTGTAATAGTAAATTATTATTGTAAATTAAAAGACAATTAAAATAAAATAGAGAGAATAGTTTAACCAGCATATTAGGCAAGCAATACATGTTGTGTCAGTTGGTATTAAAATAATAATAGCAATAATAATCTTTAATTTATAACTGAACTATTATGATGGTCCTTTGTCCCCTCCCCCTCCTCCACAGAATCCTCCCTTAGCACGTGGTGTATCAGTCTGTCTTAAGAGAGAGGCACCAGCTGGTAAACTAGTTAAACAATCTGGTGGTAACTTAGAGCTATGAGACAAGAGAGAGAGAGAGAGATTATGGTTGAAGCCAAACCCTCTATTCATGCTATAAGTAATGGTTCAGCTACTAGAGGTGTCCATTACGTCAAGGAGCCCAATATTTTACTCCAAGTCCAACTGGTACAGTCTCAGACCAGTTCCTCATCATGCACACATTCATCAATGCTGGCTACATGTAACAACACTGGTGGACATTAATGACTTATAAATAGCTAGAATTCACACACATCAACAATAGTGTGATACATGTACAGCTAATGAGTCAACAGCTCTTAACTCTTCCAATATTTGTTACTGTAATTAAATGACAATATAGTCAAACCTGCTATTGTGGACAGTCTAAAATAAGAATACCTCTATAATGAGGACAGGTAGTATCAGTCCCAATACAATATAAATGTGTATTAATGAACCTCTGAAATAAGGACACCTCTTTAATAAGGACAGTTTTATTGGGTCCCAAGGTGTCCAGAATAGACAGGTTTGACTGTAGTGCCTTAAATATTATTTTAAAGATTAACTATGCAAATGTCCTCATCATCAATCTACTTTATCTACAGTATATTATTTTCTTATTACATGCATAATGAATGGACAACCATAACTCCCTTTATTATATACTACATATACTCACACACTGACCTCACTGATCTGCTGCCATTCTCTGTCCAGTTTAGCTTTCTCATTCTTGACACCTTGTCTACGAGTCTTACGACCATCATTCATTTTAACTCCATACTGGAAAGCAGTTCTTAATATAATATAGCATCAACCATAATGACAGTTTATGCTGGACATACTTTGGTAGTGCTTCCCTTGATGGCTGATAGTTTCCATAGTCTTCCTCATTCTCTAAATTCTATCTTTTAACAGGGCCTTTACGATTACCCTAATAATAGATTATTATGATGTACATGTACATGTACATGCACATTGTAAGTGTACTATTATTAATTATCACAATGGTCATTAGCATTTTCTTTGCCAATTGTATGACACAGACCCATTACCGTATAGCTGGTAAATTTTGAGGGGCTAAATTTTGGCGAATTGCTAAATTTTGGTGATTGGCAGATTTTAATTTGGCAAATTTGTGGCCACGTGCCATTGAGCATGTGTATAATGGCTAATGGCTCAAAAAGGCACATTTTTATTTTGGCAAATGGCTATCAAAACGCCAAAATTGCCAAATTTAATCCCCTCCAAAATTTCCCGTTATACGGTACATGTTCATAGCCCATGACACAAAAAACCTTACCAAACTTTATTACATTTTCACATACCTATACATGTACATGTACAATTGTACATGCATGATCTACTGTATTCTAGTGAAAGTTTGAGCTCATTCTAACAACGGTCAACAGACAGGGTTTCCTACAGGCTTTTGGCATAGTGCTCAGCATCCTTAAATGGTGGATTTTTAGAATTGTTTAAAAACTTCACAAAACACCATGTACAGGGTGGGAACTTGGTCAAATTTGATCAAACACAAAAGAAGAGAAATATCCATTTTCATAATTTTTCCTGATGCATAATAATAATTGATAATAAAAAATAATAATTGATAATTTTTGATTAAACAAAGTTTGGTGGGGGTACAAATTTTAGTAAATTTAGCTTCAAAATCTGCAAACAAAATTTGCTTAATTTTATCAAACAATATTAAAGTGATGAACCCAATTCCTCCACTCATCAATACAGCAGTACAGTACATGTGCTACTCTCAGTATGTACATGTATATGTGTACCTGTACGACTCCTTGAGGTGGTTTAGGGGGTGTGGTTTACTTAACCCGGCACTAACTGATGACTTTAGAGGAGAGCCTGAGCCATTCTTTCTAGCAGTGAAGAGCTGACGATGTGAAGTAACAGAACTAGGAGAAGAATAACGCTCCCTCACTGAAGGTAGAGGAGACACAACAGGACTTGAATCTAAATAATAAGAATAATAACAAACAACAACAACAACAACAACAATAGTAATAGCAACAACAACAACAAAAATAATAAATTTTGAATGATCAATCTAACTATAAATGGGAGACTTAAGGAGTCCTAGGGCTAAATATGAGAGACCAAAAGTCTCCTAAACTCCCTCTAGATCTAACAGTGTAATCAATTAATCATAATAATGAAGTGATTGAGTTATTAATTTTTAATTAAATTACCCCTTTTAAGGTGAGAAAATCAAGGTGAGTGTGGTCATTATTATCGGGTTGTTAGGCAACATGACATCACTGTAACTAGGTACAGACCCAATGGAATGAATGGCATCAAATAATGGAGAACAGGACTGCTGGGCTAAAGATGATCATGATAGGACCATTTCCTCAATCTATTGTATGAAATAATTGAATGAACAGATTATTGACACAATACACTGTACATGTACTACTATAGTACAGGGACATAGGCAACTTTAACAATTCATAAAAAATCCAATTTTGATCGGAATCAGCTCAAACTTTCCACACAACATAAGAACATGTATATGTATCAGATAAAGTTATAAAAATGGAGAATTCTGTACTTTTCATTTTTGGCAAAATTTGGATTGTGACCCTGTACTATAGTACAGGGACTTTTGTCTGATTTTTGAGAAACTTTAAACATTCGTAAAAAATCCAATTTTGATTGGAATCAGCTCAAACTTTCCACGCAACATATGTACATGTACATGTATATGTATCAGGAAATGTAATAAAAATGGAGAATTCTCTACTTTTCATTTTTGGCAAAATTTGGCCCGTGACCCTGTACTATATACAGGGAATTGGGTCCAATTTTTAAGAAAATTTAAACATTCGTAAAAAAACCAATTTTGATTGGAATCAGTTCAAACTTTCTACGCAACATAAGTACATGTATATGCATCAGATAATGTCATAAAAATGGTGAATTCTCTCCTAGTTATTATTGATGGAGTATCCTACACTACACAGGATGGACTATAAGTATATGTACATGTACATGTCTCCTTTACTTCGCTCAAATGCTTCACTATAGCATGAGGGAATGACGGCTCCACTTTAATGATAATCTCAATAACCTGGAGGAGAGTAATATTAAAAATAAAAAGATGTATTATCAAATCAATTAATTAATTATAACATGCCACCCTAGCAACCAGTGGGGGCTTACTTTTAAAAAATGATAACAATGAAATCAATAACTGATAATATCCATGGAAACACTCTATGGATAATAATTAATAATTTATTATTATTATTATTATTATTCTCACCTGCTGTGTGAACTGTACGAAAATAAGACCATTTCTGCTGACAGTGCAAAAAGCGACTTATGAAAATAACCGTGTTCCAACATTAGCTGGAAATAATAAAATAAAATAAAATCAAGCACCTGGAACTAAAAACACGGTTTTCCTCCAAAAATACAAGTACATCTAACATGTGACTATAATTGACAAAAAGGTACCTTATGACAGATTATAAAATTCCTCTTTATAGTGGAAAACTCCAACTTTCTGTGCTCCAATGATAAAGAAGTTACTCTACAGGATGCATAAAGTTGCTATGCAACTTTAGCAAACCATGCTTCTTTAAGAAAACAACCTCAAGTTGATATTTCTAATTATAATGATGAATTTAGTAATCCACCAAAAGGTACATCTACCTTTTGTCAATTACCGTGTAGCGGAAAATTTTGGAGGGAGTTAAATTTGGCAAATTGCTAAAATTTCGTGATTGGCAAATTAGTGGCCAAGTGCCATTGAGCATGTGTATAATGGCTCAAAATGGCAAATTTTATTTTGGCGAACGACTATCAAAATGCCAATTCACCAAATTTAATTCCCTCTAAAATTATCTGCTATACAGTATATTCACATTATAATTACAAGTTATCATGTGACTTTCACATGACCACTGACCTGTATTGACATCTACTTTTTGGTTGAAAGCTTTTGCTTCTTCTCCTCATCAATGATAATTAACGTTAATAACTTATAATATAATGATTGAGTGAGCTGGAGACGAACAAGAGCAAAATTATCAGGAGATTCAAATAAACTCTAAAAGAATAAAAGAAATTAAAACTTGTACACATGTAACATACATGTATGCTATGCACATTTAGCAATAATACATGTACACGTATTAATTTAAAAATTCCCTAAAAATTACCCCCTGCTAATTATTATAATTTTCAACCCCCTTCCCCCAGGGAAATAATACTCATTATATACACGTACATGTACAGTTTGTGACGAGTGTACATGTACATGTACTCACTGATTTAAAAGATAATAAAAATGAAGAACTCATTAGATCAACACAACTTATGATACTCTTAATGGGATCAGATACACACACAGAGAGAGAGAGAGAGAGGGTTAATTGGTTAATATATTAAGGTTAATAAACTATTAATATACCTGCACGTGTTATAGATGATATCAGTTGGTTCTGGTTGTAATTCTTGTAATAATAATTATAACTGTATCACTGATGGATTAGCATCTGATACTGGAGTCAACCTAATCACAATAATGGAGGGCAATATCCACCTGCTAATAATGTATAGTGGGAAATTTCAAGGGCTGTAAATTTTGTGAATTTGCCTCAAAATCTATTTTGCAAATTTAATTTTCACAAATTTATGCTGTCTGCCATCTTGTAACGTAGCAATTTGATTTTTTTGCAGAAGCGATTTTTGTGAAACTTAAAAAAATCACAAAATCCACAAAATTTACAGTCCTCAAAAATTCTACACTATACAGTATTATAAATGATACATTGTGTTGTACATGTACATGTACAGTCTCGGTCATTCTGTCCTAGTTAATGCTGGTCTTTTTTCATTGTAAAACTGAGACTTTTAGTAAGAGATACATGTATTGTACGTTGTTTATAATATTGTTTACTTGTTTTCTCTTGTTGATAAATATTCTTTTCCACTTAACGGAGTACCATACTGTAAATACTGGGGAGACTAATAACAACAATAAATAACAACAACAACACCTATGTATTAATGATTACTTGATAAATGACACCAATTGGCTCCAACCTAAAGAAAATAAAATAAGAAAAAGAATAAAAATTATATTATTATTAATAATAAATAAAAATGACATTATTATTATTATTATTATTATTATTATTATTATTATTATTATTATTATTATTACTAATATACAGTCCAAGTACACTATATCTATTATTATAATATTACATTCCTCTAGTATAATTACTGCATTAATTATTCCAGTATATCTAATATGTACATGTACATGTATCCATACACGAGGAACCTCTCATTCTTTTCATCTGATCTTCCCAGCAGCTGCTCCTCCTCATGCTCAGTCTCTGAACTGTTAAGGGACACTCTCTCATCAAACTCACCTTCTTCTACCATTGCTAACTCATAAGTCTATTTTAATGAGCGACTGGGGAGAGAGAGAGAGAAAAAGAGAGAGAGGGAGGGAGGGAGGGAATTTGACGTAATTGATACTGAATTCAAGGTACATGTACATGTACATGTATACAGTATAGTCTCTCTTAATGGACACTCTTTATAGTGTACACCTCCATTCAACAGACGGCACCTAGTGTACCAATTACATTCCTTACTGTATAAAATAACCTTCACATAAAGGACACCTCTGTATAATAGAGACACTTTCATAATCCAAAGTGTCCATTATATAGAGGCTAGTCTGTATATGTAATATGTATGTAAGATATGTAAACAATTCTCTTAAGCATAAATTCCCTCGTGACTTGCTCCACCAACTTTGCCCCACCCACTCACTAATTAGTTTGAAAGGTTGCTGATTGTATTATGAATGTCAGTAGATTGTGAGAACTGAGTTTGTGAGTTCCTCTTAATGAAATACTAATGAGTACCTGAGAGACTCAAAGAGACGTCTCACTGATTGAAGGCCACCAGTAATAGTCTCTTACTACCAGACACTCCCTCTTTATTACTGGAGCTGAAGGATAATTAATAATAATAATGATGATGACAATGATAATAATAATAATAATAATAATACTAAGTATGATTATTAGGGCGTGGCAGAGGGTGGAGTTATGTAATGTAATTATTATGAATTACTATGGTCAATATGACCCGCTTAGTATTGTCATTATTATTTATAACTATAAAATATATTAGAATATGAAAAATTAAAAATAAATATATTTTAATAAACAACAACTCGGTTATTATTATAATCACAAACATACAAGAATCCATCTTTATTAAAAGCTAATCCATAAGGATCATTAAACTGATCAATATTACTGCCTTCATTTCCAAACTTCCTAACAAACACACCATCACTAGTAAAGACTGATAAACATTTATTGCTATATTCACTAACATACACTAGACCAGTAGCTGCAGTGTCTATTGTTATACCTATTGGCAAACTAAGTTGTCCAGGACCAGATCCTGAAGCACCAAACTGACCCACAAACTTTCCATCTGGAGAGAACTTCTGAATGCGATCATTATTCCAATCAGCAACATACACTAAACCTTGCCTGTCAATAGCAATGTCATATGGTAACTCAAACTGTCCATTAGCTGATCCTCTACTACCAAATGAATGAGAGAAGGTTAGATCAGGATTCAAGACTTGTATACGATGATTATCCCTATCAACAATATAAACCTGTCCTGTTATAGGAGAAATGGCTATACCAAAAGGATATTTGAATTGTAGTGGTCCACTGCCCTCTTTACCAACTGATGCTTTACGGTGTCCATCCATGCTTATCTTCTGGATCCTGTGATTATCAGATACAAGAATGAATTTGTCTGGAGTAATGGCTACACCACGAGGAGAAGAAAACTTGACATTACCACTTCCTCCTTTCCCTCCTAATGATTTCACTTTCTTTCCTTCTCTATCCAGTATTGTTACACAGTGACCACAAAACTCAGTTATTATAACATAATTATCATCACTTACAGCAACTCCCCAGGGATATTTAAACTCAGTTATAGTACGTACTCGAGTGATGTTATCAAGGTAAGGATTGAAAGGGATGAATAGTGAGGTATCCTCAAGGTGTATATCATATACATGTACTTTTACTGTATGAGTACCACGTGTTGAAGGGTTACACTGTATCCTATACACTCCAGGATCAGTGCTGGTGGTAGTGACTGTAGTGTCAATGGGTTTATGGCCTTTACCAACTGGTACTAGACTACACCTCAGAGAAGAGAGGGGAACGCACAAAAGACATGAATCTGGTGCCTCCATTGATAGTGAAAACAAAGCTGCTTTGCTAATAATATGATCAATCTTCTTCACTCTACACTGCTGTAGTGCAGTAACTCCTGAAATAATATCTCCAATGTGATGTAGTGATTTGATATCTTTACTCAATACAAAGTCACCTTTGTCCTTTGGATGTAACTCCTCCACATTGATCCCTCCAGTAACTTCACTCATACGCTCCATCATCTGTTTCTTAGACCTCAGGACTTGTTGAGGACTGCCAGTCTTCAGACTCTGTTTCACATAATCCTCAACATCCTTCAGAACACTCAAACTCATTTCTGCTGATTTCATTTGCTCTGACAGCACCTTTAGTTTATCATCAGTGACCCTCTTTGCCTGCTCAGTCAGTTTCCTCTCTGACTGACGAAGAACAGCAATCATTTCCTCTACCATTTCATGTATTTCTTCTAAGACTCTTTCTCCTCTCTCTCTAATCTCACCCTCTCTCTCTGCTAGAGCAGACAGGACCTTCTTAAGTGCTTCCTTCTTTCCCTCAACTGGTGATAGAAATTCTCTTAACTTTTGACATTGTTTAGTATAACTGTCAGTGATTAAGTCGTATTCATGATGTTTATGATTACGAACTTGACAGGTAACACAAATTACTGTATCACATGTTTCACAGAATAGCTCCAAAGGCTTTCCATGATCACTACATGTGGCCTCTTGAGGATTTGATAAATCTGCTGTCTTCTTTGTTAGACTGTACATCTCTTTGAGGTTGTTGAGGTGGTAGGCTACAGGAAAGGCTCCTGCTCCTTCTTCTGGTAACTCTGTACAATGACGACAAGTGGGACAAGAGACGTAACAGGTCTCATTCTTGTTATCTAGAGGTAATCCCTCCAGACAGTGCTCACAGAATGAATGTAGACAAGGTAAGGTCTTAGGGTTGGTATAGTGGTCAAGACACACAGGACAGGTGAGCTGTTCCTCCAGTTTGAGTCTGAGACCAGAAAATGGTTTGGTTGCCATTTCAAGAAAAGAATAAAATTGTGAACGTAAAGCAAGAACAAAAAATGAAGAGAGATAAAGGTAGAAGATGGTAAATGAAGATAGAGCAAGAACACACAATAAAAAAATGAAGAAGTCTAAATGAACAAAAAAAGCAAAGTACAACAATAGAAGAAAGGAACTACAGACAGGAAGATAGCCCTGATGACCTCTTGCCCTTGGAATTTTCTATATATAGTCTCATGACAACAGGAAGTTATGATAGTACATTCCTTTATTAAAATTTAATAATTACAATTTTACAGCAAAAATGTCAAAATAAAGTGATGTAACGTATTATACAGTAGGAGCTGATGGTCTTGAAGGATCCACATTTACTGATCATCATATTCATAGAGTGGACTATCATATACATATATTACTGACCAATGGATATACACGTACATGTATTGTATATGCTTAGAGCAATGAAAGCTAATGATCCCAATTTTTAAATCAGTGCTATTACATTATAAGGCATGAGAATAAAGGATCATTTCTCCTTATAAAGGAATGGAAACATTCCTGCTATATGACGTTACGTTTAGCTACACCCACTGACAGGAAGTAACATTGCAGGAAGCAAAAAGTCAAGACTTTAAAGGCTCATATCTCAAAAAATAATTATTTTAGACAATGGGATTTGGAACACATTATTATTATGGTTAGATAATCATATTAAGACCATAAAATATTTGGGTGGAGATACCCTTAAATGTGACCATAATTGACAAAAGGTACCTAATGGCAGGTAGTGAAATTTGTCTTCATAGCCAAAAAAATCCAACTTTCTGAGCTCCATTTATCATAACATTACTCCACAAGATGCAAAAAGTTACTATGTAACTTTTAGAAACAATGGTTGTTCAACAGAGCACTCACAGGTTGATATTTTCAGGCTCCTGATATTTTTCATTATAATGATGAATTTTAAAATCCGCCATAAGGTACCTTTTGTCAATTATGGTCACAAATGTTAATTAATAAATACATGTACAATATACATGTATATCAATCATTAGAAGAATGTAAAGTATTAAAGAGATCCGCCCACTCACCATACCCTGACGTACACGTACATGTACACAAACATACATGTAATTCACTATAACTAATTGTTAATAACATTTAATTAATAATAATAATAATAATAATAATAATAATAATAATAATAATAATAAATTTATAATAATTAAATTCAAACCTGAAAACTGTCTGCACAATTCCGGTAATATGGTAGGATAGTCATCAATTATTAATGAGGGTGTGGAGTCACAATCAGGTGTGATTGCTGGGAGAGAGGAAGGTGTCAAGTCATTGCACAATAGATTGTGTCTTTTACCGATCACAGCAACTGCACATAACATGTCAATACATCATAATAATAAATAATGAGAATTAACCAAATCATCACTTATGAGAGGGAACTGATCTGTATAGATAATGGAGAGAGAGAGAGAGAGAGAGAGAAAGAGAGAGAGAGATTATGGTTGAAGCCAAAGTTTCTATTTGTGTTATGAGTAATGGTTCAGCTACTAGAGGTGTCCATTACCTCGAGTCAAGGAGCCCAATATTCATTCCCAGTCCAACTGGTACAGTCTTAGACCAGTTCCTCATCATGCACACATTCATCAATGCTGGCTAGATGTAACACTGATGGGACAGGAGCAGGCAGTCCAGTCTTGAGAACTGGAGGTCAGGTTTAAAACATTTTGACTGGCCCAACTCTCACCAGTCTGCCTACTCCACCCCATGAGGACTGGGAACAGGGTATCTGTGTGACCATTACTATAACAGTGTGTGTGTGTGTATGTGTGCTGTTGATACAGCTAGGGCAGTATTGTTAACATTAAAAGTAAACTGGTGTGATAAGGAGACATGTACATGTACACCAGGAGCAGCACTATTGTATATCATTAAAATAATACTAAAAGGTACAGTACTATATAGTAAATGTAGGAAACATATTCAATATCTATATTAATGTTACAATAGTGCACAGTACATCATTAGTAGCTACTCACTTATTTCAATGAACATTTCCTCAACATTCCTAGCAGTGAGGGCACTAGTCTCTCCAAATATGGCATTAACTTCTGATGCATAAGTCTGACCTTGTTCAGCTGGAATCTGAGAGGAGAGGAGAAGGGAGGAGAGAGAGAGAAAGGAGAGGAGATAAAAGGAGAGTGTAGTAGAGAGAGGGAGAGAGAGAGAATTTATTACATTTCTGATACATATTGATGTCCTTATGATGTGTAGAAAATTTGAGCTATTTCGTGATTTTCTACTTTTCAGCCATCTTAAACTGTATTTAATAGATTTTTGCAGATTTTATTAATGTAAAAATCCACGTAATCATAATAGTCTACCTGCCAGAAGCTCCGTATGTGTTGATAATCCTCAATGGTTCAAAGCTAGTATTCATCTGTTGTCTACTGGAGAGAAGATTCTGTACAACAGGAATATTGAGATAAGCCAAGAGCAATCCCAAGCTAATAGATACAACCTTCCTAATGTAATAACCTTTTGGAGGACAATATTGATAATAGTAATGTACACAGCACATTGTATGTCATTTCAATAGATGTACATGTACATGTACATCTACATGTAGTTAATGGTATGTTTGCTCAAAACTGTGTCTAAAAAATTGTACATACATGTAAATGTATAAGTATGTACATGTACATAAACATGGGTTTCCTTTTTTTTGAGTCTGTCATAGTCGGAGCTAATAATAATAATAATAATAATAACAAAAGAAAAAGATTAAGAAAAATAGTCAATAAGAGATTGAATACATGAAAGAGACTGAAATATTTTTATAAATGGTGGTAGAGAGTTCAATTGCTTGATGGTTGTTGGGTAAAATGATTGAAGGAGGGACGAGGATTTACAGTAAATTTGTTGAAGGTTATCTTGAAAGTTAGAACAAAGAAGCTAAAAAATCAGCTCAAACTTTCTACACAGCATAAGGACATCAATATGTATCAGAAAATGTAGAGTATTTTTGGAATTCGGAGTCATTTTGGAAAAAATCATAAATCCCCATACAGCATTAACAATGCAATCTAAACAGCAACTTATGCTGATTATACATGTAAATCAATCTCAGATCACAAAATGTCAAACTGAAACTCCACCACATTAAAGCATCATACACTATACAATATACAATGTACAAACCTCATAATGATACTTCATACAAGTCAAGTCCCTCCAACAGGTATCACCTCTCATCTTTATCAAACCCTAAAGATGGTTCCAATATTCAATCACATCCTTTCTCTCACTTACAGCTCCAACCATAATGCGGAATATCATCCAACGATTTCCCCAGACATTGGTCCAGCTTGTGGGCGTGTGACGTGGAAACTGGCTCAAACTCAAAACTGGAGATAAGAACATTGCAAGGAAACCCATTTCAAGTAACTGAGACTCCCAACCTACATGTACATGTACATGAATATCTAATAATGTACACACATTATACAATACACAATGAATACACATGCACTTTATATTCATGTACTGTACTGTACATGTACTGTTAGTATATTCATGTATTGTAATATACATGTACTGTTAATCGAAACAATTAACATTTTGATTAGCAATATACAATGTCTATATAGCTGTTTGTTCTGATAGAGTGCAATAAGAAATGCTACAACTAAAAATAAATACAAGAGAGTTTGTAACAACAACATTTTAACTCTTATTCTCTTTTCAAAAGAGATGGTATCAATAATCAGTAATTGGCGTAGACTAAATTTTAGTATATTACTTATTAAGAAACTGTAAACGGGGACATTGTCATATGATCAATTGTGGTAAAAGTTCTATGATAATTTGGACACTGAACTAGTCAACTACACTACAGTACATCTAATAGTCTTAACTCAATTACATGTAAATGAAACTTGTCCAACCACCCTCAACCTCACAACCACCAGATGACTATACTTACAATAAATAGCTGAAATGATCTAATGAACAATATTCTAACTAGCCAGTACGAACCAGCAAGTAACTTTCTTTCATCTTGATCCACTGATGATGAAGAAGAATTCTTCCTAACATTCAAATCATATGAAAACTATTCCTTTGATTGGTCTGTTCCCACCATTATTGCACTAGCTCCGATTACATAGGTTTACTTTCGTATACTCTAAACTCGTGTTATCACGTGGAGCAAATCACTAATTCACGATTGATACGCCTAGCTTTGTACCTCTATTCAGAGATACATCCACCTCAGAATAGCAAAAGGAGGAGAGGAATGATCTGATGAACCTCTTCTCTCAGTTGAGAAAGACTTAAGTGAATCAAAGCATTTTGTACTGTCCTCCATCTTTTAAGGTGTGGCTATGAGTGTGGTTTAACCAGCCCCACCTTCTTCTTCGGAATTTGCTGTGCCCTGCTTTTACCTCGGGTTGTACGTTTTGTCTTACCTTTACCTCTCCTTTTACCTTGTATACAATACTTAGACTAGTTTCAAATGGCTTCAAAACCATCACATTTTCCATTAGGTGAGTCAGATCATTTATAACACAGTGATATACATATTTTGTGTACAGATATTAGCAAGTTAAAGTTTGTTTTACAAGTCTTGAGGCATTACAAGTTTCCTGAAGCAAGATGGTTTGAGTTTGGATTGAATCTTGGTCTGCTTCATCCTACACTGGAAGCTATTGAGTCAGCTCATAGAGGGAATCCTTCACGCTGCCTGATGGAGTGTTTAACCAAGTGGTTGACTAAAGCTGATGATAATGTCACCACTGTTGGTCCTATAATCTGGAAGACACTGGCTAATGCGCTCAATGAAATGAATCTAATATCTATTTCTGATGATTTTCGTAAAACAAGTAATAATAACACTATCATTTTTATAACGTAATATTATTCATTTAGTGACAGATCCTTTTAGTGAGATATTGCAGTGTTATATTGGTAGACTAGCTCAAGTTGTTCTTACTGAGGAATCAGTTGATCTCTTACATACAGAGGGATTGATATCTAAGGATACATTAGCAAAAGTGAAGAGTTGTGGTTGTTCATTGGTAGGAGATCCAATGTTACTAATATTAAGTGCTGTAGCTGAAGATCATAGCAAGTTATGTACTCTGACAAGCATTCTAATGAAATCAAAGGAAGCAGTGTCTTTAGCTAGTGATATAATAATGGAATGTGGTAAATGGAAAGTTTTATAAATACACTTAACTTATTTATATTCCAATAAAATAGGAAAGTCATTTCCTTCAGCAACAGTGATGTCATCTTGTCAACAAGCAAGTACTTTAACATCTTCAAGTAATGATATAATATAACATATATACATTGACTATTATAATAAATACAGGATCTGGACAATTACAAGATAGTAGTAGTGAGACTCAAGTAACTACCAATACTGATGCTACTCCACAAGGTTAGTAACATTAATTATACTCAATTCAATGTCATTACACTCTATTATAATATAGGTGTAGTAGAGGTGATAGTTCACCCTGGCTATGAAGCTGAGTTTGATAGAATGGATCATAAGCTTGGTACACTTATTCACAATATCGTTCCTCTTATTGAAGCAGCCATACCCTCTGTCAATGATTTGAAGACCTACATTGGAAGGTGTCAGAAAAAATTAAAGCCTCGATTGAAAAATGCCAACAGCTTTGATGATGTAATGGAAGTGATTGAGGATGAGTGTTCTATCACTAATGTTGCTCTATTGGAGACTATAGTGAACAAATACTCAATACAAGATGCTGGAGACATGATATTAACTTATCAGACACACTTGGATGAATTCTGTGAGAACAAATTAACAATGTTTTGTAATCGTCAGCTTAAGAGATTATCCTCTTCTCTCCTCACTTGTGAGACGATCAAGTTTGTTCTAAAGTGGAATCCAAGTGAGTATTCTCTCTCCAGTATCAGAGCCCTCCTATGGAAAACGTTCAAGGATAATCAAGTGGAGGTGGTAGTGATCAAAGAAGGGAACTCCATCATTGTTACTTGTTATGCTCCTCATTATCTGATGGAGAGTTTACTAGTGACAGCTAGAGATAATGTTGATATGCTAAAGGAGATGGGATTGATTAGTTTAACTATTGGTTACTATACTGTGTATGATGAACATGCAATTGATGAGGTTAGTGAATGTATGTGTATATAAAATTAATAGTATACTTTAATAATGGATAGGAGGTGAAGAGTCTATTGAAAGAACTGGAGATGGTAGAGAGTGAAAGAGATGATTTACTTGAGGAGAATGCTAAATTGAAGGGTACAATAGACTCATTAGGTACATACTAATTATTATTAATTATAATTAATTTATTGATGATTCAAAGGTATGTCATATCAAAGTAAAGAAGTTGATATAAGCAATAAGTCATCAGGACAATCATCAGGTATAATGACATTCTTTTTTTAGACATGATATCTATGAAGTATGAATATCGTCATGTGTGCAATTTTTGAATAAATACATCTTGCAGCTGAATTGTTGTTCCTAATAATTTAATTGCTTCATTTTTAGTTTTAGAGTCTGAAAAGGGAAACAGTAAAAAGAAGGTGACAAAAGCAATGCAAATGGAAATAGATCATTTACGATCATCTCTTCAAAGCAAAACAGGTACATGTATGTATACAGACATACTTAATACTGTATAATGACAATAGAGTACAGCTGTGTTTAGAGTATCATTATTGCTTGTACATTAATTTGTGACCATAATTGACAAAAGGGCCCTTATGGCGGATTTTAAAATTGATCTTAATAATGGCAAATATCAACCTGTGAGTGCTTTGTTAGACAATCATTATTTCTAAAAGTTTCATGGTAACTTTTTGCATCCTGTGGAGTAATTTTATGATAAATGGGGCTCAGGAAGTTGGATTTCTTAGGCTAGAAAGACAAATTTCACTACCTGCCATAAGGTACCTTTTGTCAATTATGGTCACATTTGTTATAGTAGGAGGATGATTGTGTATATACTCAATACTAATACCGGTCCTTCTTACATGCAATCGAATAATACGCAAATTATTGATAAATATTTTCTTAATGTTTTTAAATTAGCAACTAATTTTTGATTTGTATTAAATTATTAATGACTATAGGAATAGAAGAAACATTAATTAGAGTAGAGCGAACATTAATTGAAAGAGAAAAGGAGATAGAACAGTTACAGGAAAAGATATCATTAATGAATATACAACAACTGAAAGAAACTTCAATTACTTTTAGTATGTATTACATTATATTAACATAATGACTAGTACTGGTATTTTAGGAAAGGATCAGTGTACACAATATATGGATCCACCAAAAGGACTAGTTTATGTAGCTATTAAACAATGGGAGGCAAGGGATAGCAATCAGCTTTCAATCAAGAAAGGAGAGAAACTTGAGATCAAGCAGGAGCGTACTAGTGGATGGTGGCTTGCAAGATCATTAGATACTGATCAAGAGGGATTTGTTTATTTTAGAGATATTGAAAAAGATGAAGAGAGTGAATTGTCAACATTGGAATCACTTGAACTATTTCATTATGCAATGACAGAAAATGTTGACATACCTAAAATCAAGGAAATTAAGACGAGGAGCAACGTTGAGAGAGCAAGTCTCTTTTTATCATTAATTAAACAAGATTCAGTTCTGCTAAATCAACTTAGAAAAAAAGAACATGGTAAGGTATATTTATATGTACCAATATTCCCTAGTGTTTAAGAGTATTAAATATTGTCTATGATTTGCAATTTCAATAGTACAATATTTTAAAAGTCAATTTAAGATGTTCTGGAGTACAAAACTTGTATTTTTTGCTTAAATGTTGGCAAATTCATAATTTGGTACATTATAAAATCCACATAAAACCAGTGTTGCTTTGCTTTAGCTATTAAAAATATGATAATAGAAAATAATACTTGATAATACTGTAATTTTTTATATATTCAGGAAAACCTAAAGCAATTAGGTGGTATGATGATGGTGTTAAACTGACCTCTCCATCTGTAATACAATGTCAAGAAGTAGTTTCTCTATTAACATTCAAACATACGACCATTATCATCAGCGAATCATCTCCTGACATTGTGTGTGATCTGTTGCCAGTTTTATTACAAAATGAAAAGGTGAAATACTTGAAAATACGAGACACTCAACTAACACAGGACTGCATCTCATCCTTATGTAACTTACTGGCTAATAATAAATCATTATTAGATTTAATTATTACTAACTGTTCCATTGATGACAAAGCAGTTGCTGATATTACAAATGTACTACAAACACACAATAACACACTTTTAGGAATAGTCTTAGGTAATAATCCTCGTATTACTTCAGTTAGTGCTCAGTCTCTTTCTGAACTAATTATCAACAATTCAACATTAACTGGATTACAAATAACAGACACTTCAATAATATCTAATCAAATATTACTAATTCTTCAATCGTTAACAATTAATAAAACTATAAAGCTCATTCTAGATATGAAGCACAAAGACACATGCACAGAATACCATGACTATAATACTATAAAAGATAGAGTAATATTTTACTAACAATTAATAATTATTGTATTTTGCTTTTGTTGATGATGCTAACTGATCAATTACTATTAATTTAAACACAAAAATAATTAACAAAGTGATTTTAAATATGTACAAAAACAAGTAAATACAAAATAATAATAATTGTGTTAACCCATTTTAATAATAAATAATTATTGCTGCAATTACAGACAATTAATATAAAATATAAGAGAATAGTACAACCAACTTATTGGGCAAGCAGTACATGTGTCAGTTGTTATTAAATAATAATAATAATAATAATATATTATCTTATTATAACTGAACTATTATGATGGTCCTGTGTCCGGTCCCCTCCCCCTCCTCCACAGCATCCTCCCTTAGCACATGGTGTATCAGTCTGTCTTAAGAGAGGCACCAGCTGGTAAACTAGTTAAACAATCTGGTGGTAACTTACAAGCTATGAGACAAGAGAGAGAGAAAGAGAGATTATGGTTGAAGCCAAAGCCTCTATTTGTATTATTAGTAATGGTTCAGCTACTCGAGGTGTCCATTACCTCAAGGAGCCCAATATTTCACTCCCAGTCCAACTGTTACAGTCTCAACCAGTTCCTCATCATGCACACATTCATCAATGCTGGCTACATGTAACACTGGTGGGACAGGAGCAGGCAGTCCAGTCTTGAGAACTGGAGGTGTGGTTTAATACATTTTGACTGGCTCAACACTCACTAGTTTGCCTGCTCCACCCCCTGAGGACTGGGAATAAGGTATCTGTGTGACAATTACTATAACAGTGTGTGTGTACTGTTGACTATAATTGTAAATCATTAAAATAATACTAAAAGGAACAGCATTGTATAGTACTAAAAGGCACAGTTCTGTATAGTAAATGTAGTAAACATACTCAGTATTTATATTAATGTTACAATAGTACATACTACAGTACATCATTAGTAGCTACTCACTTATTTCAATGAACATTTCCTCAGCATTCCTAGCAGTGAGGGCACTAGTCTCTGCAAATATGGCATTAGCTTCTGATGCATAAGTCTGACTTTGTTCAGCTGGAATCTGAGAGGAGAGGAGAAGGGAGAGAAAGGAGAGGAGATAAAAGGAGAGTGTAGTAGAGAGAGATACAGGATTTATTACATTTTTGATACATATTGATATACTTATTCTATGTAGAAAGTTTGAGCTTAACTTTTTGAGTCATGAGAATTAAAAAACGGCCTATTTTTAAAAATTTTCCAAAGCCATAGCCCATGGTTTTTTTTCCAAAAAATGGCTTCGTAATCACCCTAAGCATGCCAGCAGTACTGAAAGTGTTGTTTATCTAATTTTTTCTTCTCTTAATAGCTACCTTGTGATGGCTACCCCAACATTTACAAGTATTTCTGGCACAATTTGATAAGTACTTTTTGTACTGAATTCTAAGTAATGCACACTTTTTGTTCACACTGCTTTTCTATGTTATGTGAAAAAATTTCTGACTATAAACTATAAGGTAACCATTAACCCTGCTCTTTCAGTTGATATCCATCCTATTCCAAAGCCACAGGAATTGTTTGCCAGTCTGGCGGGAGGAGTCAAGTTCACAAAGCTGGAATTGTCACAAGCATATCAACAAATTCTATTGGATGAAAAATTGAAAGAACTTGTAACGAATAATACTCAAAAGGGACTCTTTAGCCTACCAGGTTCACTGGTAGGTTAATTGCCATTTGGTGTGGCTTCACAGGACCAGCAATATTTCAGCAACCAATAGACTGGACTGTATTTTGCAAAGTGTGTCGAGGGTCTGTTGTTATAAAGATGACATCCTGTTTTTTTAATTTTTGTCTTAAGGTTTGTAACTCTGCATTTTGTTCTGTGGAGTACAGGAACAACATGATCTAACAGTTCTCGAATTCCATACAATCACAAAATGAATGTACTAATGGCCACGATCTTATTAGGCTGTGTCTACAGGTCCGGTAACTGGACACAGTTTTCAATTGCTAGAGATCTGGCAGTCCGTTTTTCTCCGTAAAACAGCTTGTGCGCATGCGCAATAGTGCAAAATGGAACTTGATCTTTTTATCAAGAAACACTAAATCCTAATCCCAAAACCCTGCAATCCCAGAGGCTAAGATGTACAAGAGTGTGTTATTTCTTGACCTAAATAAATCCAAAAAGGAGAAACAAAGGGAAAAAATCATTTTAAAAAAAGAAAAAAAATCAAAGACCGTAGCATAGTTCCATGCAGTAGTCCTGACATATGCTCAATGGAGGTTTTTCTTGATGTACATTAACCATTTAGGATTTTAACAGACTCTTTTCATCAGCCTTAGGTTATCTTGTTCAGGCCTCTCATTGTAAAAAGACCCCATGATGACCAGGTACATTTACATTCATTAAAAAATTGACATATTTTCTTTATACTACTTAAGAAAATTTCTTACAAAACACGGCTCTCAAATATTTGATTAAAAGTAGATTGGACAAAATAAACCATCGATGTGAATAACAAAGTAGGGACAATTGGCCATCAGATAAATCACGCCGCTAAGCCGTACAACAACTGCGTTGGTGTTTTAGTGAAAGACAAGGTAGCAATAGTTTCAAAAAATGATTAAAAAGGGAGACCGATCACATGGGATTATGGCTTCAGATCCAAGGATCTTCTGTGGTTGAAAACTTTCTCAAGGTAACGTTCTTAATAGTCCATTGAACTTTATATTGCCATTCTTTTTCCATTAGCATAGCCAGGCCAAGGACATCAGAATCGCCTCTAGAAAGTGCAGTAAAGCCTTAAGTACAATGATATTTCAAATATATTATTGTAAATTATTAGACACTTCACACAATGCCCCTGTGCTTGAGTATGGAAGAGAGTAGAAGATCCTCGGAGCATCTCCACCAACAGCACCCTTCCCTGACTGGCCAGGATTTTAGATATTATTTTGCCAAAATGCTTAGTATGAAGCATGCAAGTAAAGAGACCAGTCAGGGGAGGAAGCGAGGGGGTTGACCAAGGGCATATCTGGTTATGAAGTGGAGATGACACCTGCAAAAATCGTGAAATTAATAGAGTGAGTAGAATATGGCAATCGTCTTTATTGTCATTAAGTTACCCACAGTGACCATGGAAACCCACAACTCATAAAGCACCTCCAAATAACTGGGGAAGAAGAGCCATTCACCTCCACTCAACTGAAGTGTTACATTCAAGAACTACAGAAGAGAGGGGTGGGGGTGAGTGGCATAATAAGTAATCTTGAGGGACTTGTCAAAGCCATCCAGGCAGCCAAGGACAAGGAGTGAGTCAAGACAAACAATTTTTAATGCTTCTGTATTTTAGACACAAGACCTTCATTAAAGAAACCAAACTGTTCCTAACAGAACAAAGAAGAAAGATCTGAAACAGAAGCAAGGCTTCCGGTGCCACAGAGCGTCGCCATTAGCAAGTTTATGGAGAGCAAGGTAATGCTCATGATACTGATTGAGACAGACAAGAAACAAATTAGTTTAATAGTGGAAAAAAAGATACAAGGAGGGTGACGAGGTGCCTCTAATTGCTGACCATAGGCTAAAATTGAAATGTAGAATTGAAAATAAAATTTTGATTACTTGATATAAAAATAAATGTTTAGAAAACTTAGACATGGATGTTCATTTTTTTTTCAAAGAATATCTCAGGCTTCAAAGAAGACACAAAATCTAACAAGGAATTCTCCATTTCTTATCTGAGGCTCTACCTCATCTATTGTTCCATCCTCTATCCCTACATTCCCTCAGTCAGTCCCTCCCAGGCAGCACTTTTAAAGTTTAAGATTATAGTTTATAATAGAATTTTTTACCTTTAACAGAAACGAATGAATCCAACAGCTTTTTTGCTTTTCAATTCAATTATTTTGGAACAAAATTTATATTATAATATTTAACATCACTAAAGTTAATATTAAAATTTGTAACTGATACAGTCCTATTCTATCACTGAATGTGATGCTTTAATCCACAAGGATATTCCAAAACAGGAGCCCAGACTCCAGGCAATGGAGAGGGCAACATCCTTGGAAATTGATGCATGATGCATTATTGCCGGTCACATTTATCACAAAATTATCATTCACTCATTAATGAGTTGCACCAAAAATCTCCAGAGATTCCTGTTGTGGTTATCAAATCATAATATAAATATATAAAATATCTTGAATTTATTCTCCAAAAAGGATAATTCATTCTGAGAAGACCTGCAAGGCTAGTTTCACAAATGATACTGCCAAGCATTTCTTTTTTGAGCTACCTATCATGGCTAACAAAAGTGCTGAAAGTCCAAAGCATCATTTGTTTAGGGTTCAACAACTTTAAAATCTTTAATCGCCAAGCAACTTATTGAGTTACAGGCGTAATAGGTTTGCTTAAGCGGTCTTTTTAAAACTTTTTCATTTTAATATTAAGAAACTTTTTGAATAAATTTTTTGTGATATAATAATTTAATTTAGAGTTATTTTAGGTTACTAATATTTGCCTTTGCATCAGTCATTATGTACTAAATACATAGTCTTTGTTTGTTTTAAATATTAAGTATTATCTTAATTGTAGTTGTCTCTTTGAATTGTGAAATGTCGAGAAGAAAGCAAGACAAGGGTGAATACCTTTTTAGCTTTGTTACTACAATATTATTGCTTCATCTAATAGAAAGAGTCAAGAAGTTTTTGAAGAGTGCTTGAACTACAAAAAGTAGGTAGCAAATGGTTCGACAAGTTCATATTTTGTGTAGGAAAATAAACATGTAGTACTGCCAATAAGTATGATGCCTTACGGTAAGGTTCCAATACCTGCAAGAGATGACAGCATACCAGTCAATGAGTTCAATGTTATGAAACAAGACCTTGAGAAACACTTGACCAAAGCAAGAAAATCTCTTAATGTTCCACGTCCCAGAAAAATTCGAGTTTTTGAAGTATGTACTCCACTTTACATTTATAAAAAAAACACCTTTCTAGGACAGCAATGACGAAGAGATAGAGTTGCCCAGGGAATCAATTGAAGTTTGCAAAACAATTTATTGGTTAAATATAACCATTTGCTACAGGAT